AAGTGTACTGTTAGCTACCTTTATTATAATTTGATTTTTTCTTCACCTCCCGCCTCGAATAGCCCTTCTAATTTGCGGGAGGTGAAAATCTATGTATTTTTAACTTAAGACTTAATAAAGCTTGTTGTTGTTGTTGTTGTTGTTGAAGCAGTCAACAGACACCTGACAAGTGTGTCTTTTTCCGGTGAAAAAGTACATGTATTTCAGAGCGAAGGATATATGTTGAATAAATTATGACAGCAAATACGATTTGGGGAAGCAATACTTGCTTGTTACTTGTTATTTTGTACGGTACAGTTCTTAGAAGCACTTAACTTTTGCTTGAACAAATGAGTGTACCTTCCTACAGTATTTTATTAGTCTTGTTCCAGTTTGCAAACTTGTAATAAACGACCTGAACTGATGTGTAATTGTATGTACCAGGGGGGGCTAGCAGCGATGCCTGGGACCTAGTATACATGATTGCACATTTAAGAAATTTGGCCGAGCGAGACTAAGTACTGGTTTGTTTAAAATAAACATGGCGGACGATGGCGGACATGACGTGCGTTTGTGTTCGTTCAGAATTATTTTGGCGATTCCACGTTCAAACATCTATGGGAACGATTCGGTCGCTGTTTAACTGAACTTTGGTCATTGTGGGACACCATGGATGAAAATTCCACAGCAAACTCCCGTAGAGGTACGTTTCTCGAATGATTGACAGATTTCTTTACTTGTGCGATCATGTATAGCGGAAACGCGGCAAGATCAAAGGGCGCTGCCTGCCCCCCCTTGTATGTACCTTCTGTTTTACTATCTCAGGATTACTGGTGTCAGGCTACCTCGACTCTCTATAAGGCAGACACCTCTCTAAGATGGACAGTTGGTGCCGGCCTGTCTTAGAGAGAGTTGACTGTAATACTGCTTCATTTTGATTGGCTGAAAGCAAGCTGTCAATATACCACACAAATTCCAAAGTTCTTGCAAAAATTCTTATATTGTACGAAAATTTTCTTGCTATATTTCGGTCTGACAAAGATCTCCCAATCAGCGTCAAAAGTGTTGAGACATTAAATTTTGTATTTATTTTGCAACATCCACTACCCCCTTCCCCAAACCAATGTTGGGAGCCATTTGTACAGATATTCGCAATTGCGCAGACATTCGCAATTGCACAACATTGAATAGGGGGGCTGGGGGATTAGAGAATCATCCCCATGTAGATGCATTTGAAGCAGCTGAACCGGTAAAATATTACATAGTGTCATTTTCTGAAGTGTCTCAACTGCTTTTGACGCAGTTTTCCGAAGTACCAGATTATTCTTACGCCGGAAGATTCCGGATTATTCTCCAAGAATTCTTAAACTGATTGACAGTTTTTACGAAGATCAAATTCCAATCAAATTTCGAAAATCGCCAAAGATTTCTGAAGATTTCTGAGGAAGATCCGAAGATGTTTAAAAAAAGTTAACTCTCCCTAAGGCGGACATCCTTGGGACAGCTCTAGCTCTAGCTGTACATAATTGTACATTAACCTTGAATTAACATGGAAACTGTTAAAAATGTTAATAATGGCACAGGCAGCCCAGGCTCTGTATGCAAATATTAAATATTCAATGTTGATGTTCATGGCGGCGATTTGAATATTTATAGCAAATGTATGAGGAACTCACGAAATACATTCTGAATGCTATCTTTTCGAAGGAAAACTAACTAAAACTGACTTACATTGTGCAAGTGTTTTGTTATTTTGATGTTTGGGTGTTCCTGGTGCCAGTTTAAAGCCATTTAGACGAGTTTTGCTTTTTCAGTTGACCGTCCATTATGAATAATTTAAAGGCAGGCGACAATTATGTGAGAACAGATCCAATGGTCCGCACTCGAAGCTCAATAAATTCCACAAAAATGCTCCAGTCTCCTCAAAATTACCTTCATTGTAGACGTCCATGCTCTTAGCTTCTGTTCGCTACCTCTAGGGTTCCAAGGTTGACTTTAATTGCTCGAGAAAACGCTCGTGTTCGAGCTCTTGTCTTTAATATTTTCTTTTGTGTTGTGCGTGTCCCCAGCGTCTGAGACACCTCATTTGAATTTCAGCGACATCGTGACCAAATTTACCTCGACCGTGGAGAGGCATGGTGCAATTGTTTCCTTGCAAAAAAAGACACCATGGTTTTTTACTTTAGAATCTCGCGACTCTCTAGTTTCATTATTTTTTTTTTCGGTGTCAGAACTATCCTCAGTTGAACAATTTAAAGGCAGCGTTCAAATACACAGTGAAACTTCAAAAATTCCTCGTTGCGGTTCACATTCTCCGAAAAACCCAGAGTTTGGTCGGGATGTTTCATGTCAGTTGTTTTGCATAAAACTGCACATGCGGAGCTATTAAACGGCGTGCTTTTTTTATGCCGTTTGAAATCGACCGATTAAAGCATTGTCTATATTTATAGCGGTTTAATTTACAACTTACGTTGTAAAAACTTGTTGAAAGAGATTTTATGTGGGGTTTATAATCACGAGCATAAACCCGCTTACTCCAAAACAAACCGAAATCAGTCTTGAGTTTTGCTAAAAGTGGGCGCAATCTAACTACAATGAGGAATTTTTTGAAGTTTCACTTTGTATTTGAACGCTGCCTTTAAATTGTTCAACTGAGGCAGGAGCTCCTGACTGAGGATAGTTCTGACACCGAAAATAAAAACTGAATGAAACTAGAGAGTCAGCGCGAGATTCTAAAGTAATTTTTAATCTATGTTGTATCCGATTGTTTTCCTTCCGTTTCCGGTCAAATCGACCGAAGGGACCATCCCATGGTGTCTTTTTTTTGCAAGAAAACAATTGCACCATGCCTCTCCACGGTCGAGGTAAATTTGGTCACGATGTCGCTGAATTTCAAATGAGGTGTCTCAGACGTTGGGGACACGCACAACGCGAAAGAAAATATTAAAGACAAGAGCTCGAACACGAGCGTTTTCTCGAGCAATTAAAGTCAACCTTGGAACCCTAGAGGTAGCGAACAGAAGCTAAGAGCATGGACGTCTGCAATGAAGGTAATTTTGAGAAGACTGGAGCATTTTTGTGGAATTTATTGAGCTTCGAGTGCGGACCATTGGATCCGTTCTCACATATTGTCGCCAGCCTTTAAATTATTCATAATGGACGGTCAACTGAAAAAGCAAAAACTCGTCTAAATGGCTTTAAACTGGCACCAGGAACACCCAAACATCAAAATAACAAAACACTTGCACAATGTAAGTCAGTTTTAGTTAGTTTCCTTCGAAAAGATAGCATTTAGAATGTATTTCGTGAGTTTCTCATACATTTGCTATAAATATTCAAATCGCCACCATGAACATCAACATTGAATAGAGCCTGGGCTGCCTGTGATAATGGTAACTGTATTTATAGCGCATTTTCCCAGATATGTTCAAATGCGCTTCTAAACCACCACACGCGCACAGGTTAGAGTCTGACAGTCTTTATTAACAATTTAAACATACAACCAAACTATAATAAATAATCAATTAATTACTTATGTACGAAAATAAAATATTGAAAAATATTAAACAGATTACAAGATGTATTACATACAATAAAAGACTGTCCAAGGAAGTGGGTGGGAGGGCAAAAAAGTTTAAAATCTGATTGCTGCTTGCAATATTGAGAAAGCAAAAATTATATAAAATGCTCTAATGTAAAAGCTAATAATATGCTATGCCTTTTTAATAATGTGAAACGAACGAGTTGTGAAAGCTCTAGATAGTCAGGTACTAACACCAGTCGCTACCTGATTGGTAGTTAAGAATCTTGTGACTATCAGCTACATACATGTAACTTAGGGCCCGATTACATGGCGAATTTCAGCCCGGGCTGAAATTTCAGCCCGGTTAGGGGGGCTGAGATTTCAGCCCGGCTTCCGAAACAAATCCTCTTGAAATGAAGTTGGCGATTACATGGAGAAGGTTTCAGCCCGGGCTAAAATTCAGCCCGGGCTGAAAATTCCAGCCCGGTTTGAGAAACCGGGCTGGAATTTTCAGCCTGGTCTAACGGGCTGAAAAAGCCCATGTAATAGGAATGGAATTTCAGCCCGGGCTGAAAAGTGAATTTGGGCACGCACAGTGATTATGTTTTTGCCTGAAATGTAGAATACCCGGCAACTTATTTGCATGTCATCGAATAAGAATGGATGAATCCTTTTGTTCTACAAATGTGTAGCCGATATGTAAATAATTTACTGGGTATTTTAAAACCGCTCCTAAACACGATGGCGGCTGCGAAGGAGACAAGGTTCCATTCCAGTGGAATAAAGGCGAGAAAATTGAAAATCTTATTCGATGTCATTGGTCAATACGGAATGGATCCTTTCGTTTTTATATACCTTGTGCTACAAGAGTTCAGCTGATATTTAAATAAGTTGCTGGGAGTTAAAATCGCTCCTGATTCTCTGATGTCTCTTCCCGCGCAATTTCAAATTTGGCACTTGGGCTTATATTTCAGCCCGGGCTGAAATTCGTCATGTAATCGCAACAAAATTCCAGCCCCCTTACCGGACTGACCCGGGCTGAAATTCGCCATGTAATCGGGCCCTTAGAGATGTCATAAACATATGACCATTGAGCAATCTTAAATAATCGTAAAGATGCTAGTTTGTGACGTTACCTTCCAGACTTCACGTGTGCTACTAATGTATAAATCGGTGGGTGTCTAGATTTATATTAATAACTAGTTATCAATATTCACTACAATTCAACTCAGTGGTGATGTTGGACATCAGCTGGTAAAGGTGCCTGTGGCAGCCACATACTCTGTTTTTTACATAGTTGTGTAGTACTATCAGTCCATTTATGATCTCACCCCACCCTACCAACCCATGAATATATACATGTGAACATGCCAGACCCCAACACTGTCCCCTACTCTTTTTGAACAGTGATGTGGCTTCTTTAATGTCCCCTACTAATTTAGTATGAGGTGTAGGAGACAAGATCAATGGCTGCCTGCATGATCTTACCAGTTATTTTTGGTCCATCCGGGAATAGAACCCGTGACCTCCCGCACTGCAGTCTGGCACCTTACCACTGAGCTAACCAGGCTTTCAAAAATATCCATTGAATTATGTAGCCATCAATTGAATGTAATCATTTTGTAACTTTCATTTTCCACTGTTTACATACCGTAAATCCTTGAATAAATGCCTGGGGCGCTTATTTCAAATTTCAGGTTTTTCCCTTGTCAAGTCCATAATTGAACCAGTTACATTTTTATAAAATTTTATTTTTGGCAAGAAATCTGTAGTAATTATGCCTTCTCTTACTTCATACATTCGTTTTGATTGGATTTAAAAAGCGGGGTGGGGTTTATATTTTAAATTTCATGATTCTGTTGGGGTGCTTATTCGAAGGGGGCACTTATTCAAGGATTTACGGTAATTAGCATCACAATTTACTTTTTGCTGGTAAATGTTGGTCAAATTATTTCCTTCCTTTAGTTTTCCATGATTGAGTTTTGTTACAACTAATACATAACTGGAATCAAAACATGCCAAATTCAGTGACTTCACCAGTAATTGTTTTAATGGGAGTGGAATTTGTTTTAGGGTCTGATACATAAATCTGCTGGTATGGTAACATGCAATGTTATTGTAGGGCATTTTTCAGCACAGAGCATCAGTCACTTCTCCTGGAATTCCTCAGGCTCATAACTCAGAGAGATATAAATCAGCTAGCTTTTAAACTTATAATTTCTCTATTAATTTCTACTTCTTTATTTTATGTTGTTACATGTGGATCTTATTCTATTTCTGTCATTTACAGAACAGAAGACGGGAGACATTCAAGTGAGTTTACAAAAATTAAAGAGTAAAAATGTTTTCAATCTATGGAATGAGGACTCTGTCTTTGTCTACAAGTGTACGTTTGCTGCGAGTCTGTCCATTTCTGGCCCAAAAGTTCCCATCAAGTACATTTAAAGAGTTCAACAACTTCTACAGCGCATCATGGCCATCATCCAGGATCACCAAACCAACAGTGAAAACTGACAGCCTCTACTTCATCAACCCTCCCGCCTACTACTCCACCAACTTAAAGTCGTCACGTCCAACTAAAGCTAAACTGACAATTGAGAAGAAAATATTGACGCTGAAAACAGTTTGAAGAGCAACTTGAATTTTTTAAACAGGCTAAGTATTTGATGGACATTGTAAACAAGATCTCCATACTTTATAACATTGCTAAGATCATAGAAAGAGATGAAGAACAGAAGCAAGTGCTGAAACAAGAACTAAACAGCACATACATGGAATTACTGGATAATATTTCAATCCAACTGTCCAGATGTCTGCCTCAAAAACATGCCTGCTGTGATGTGGGCTTTAGGAATAAATCAAGAAAAACATCAAAAGCTAGTTTACCTTTTGCCAGAAAAAGATTCTGTCCCGTGGTGCTGTATTCTTTAACAATGAAAGTATCTATCAGATCTTGAATGGATGTGCAAACCTCCACATGACAAGCACTGAATTGTTTCCCAAGTTTCCAAGAAGCCATTTTTAAATGGAGAGGTGAAGATTTGTGATTTTGAGGATCATCAACTGTCTGGAATTTCGCTGTCATTTGCCAAAACAGACAATGGTTCTGTTGAACTATTTGATGCTCTCTTGGAAGAAATTCTATCAAGAGACTTCTCAATGATTGAATGTTTGTGCTTTGGCAGAATTTGTGTGGTCATTTGCAAAGAAGCAGTTGATAGCAGACAAGTTGTTTGACAGAATAGAAGAAGAGATTCTGAGACGAGGAATACCTTATTTGGACAAAACTGATTTTTATTCAGATACTATGGGCATTGGCATAACTGGAAAAGGAAGCAAGCAACTTTTCTACTCTGTGGACAATGAACTTGTCTCAAGGGGTGTGGAGAGGTTTAGCAATGCTGAACTGTTAGATATTGTGTGGTGTTTTGGTAAGATAAATTTTACCAAAAGCCACAGCATTTTGACATTGTCAAGAAAGAGTTGTTTAATCGTGGTGTCTGTACGCTGCATACACACGAGCTTGTCTTAATTCTACTTTCATTTTTCTCTGCCCAAAGACATGACGACAAGTTAGTCACAGAAATTGAAAGCGAGTTGAGTTCAAGGAATGGAAGGCAGATTGGCAATACTCATTTATGTCAAGTTGCCTGGTCTCTTGGAAGAGCAGGAAAGTCAGATAGTAAGATGTTTGATGTGACTGAAGCAGAAGTCTTTCGGCGTGGTGTATTTGAGTTTTTCCAAGGAAGAAAAATTCATGCTTATGCGAGCATTTCTTGAGGCCAAGAGAGGAAAGTAAAGAGTTCTATGAACTTTTATATTCTTCCTTTTCAGCAAACGATTTGTCTAATTTTAGTGCAAGAGATATACATGAATTTGCTTGGTGTATTTCTGAGGCAGATGTTTGAGGCAGGAGCAGTGTTTGATGCTTTAGAAAAAGGAAACCTTAAAGAAGGAGAAATATCATTTCAGTGAGAAGCAGCTTACTTCTATAAAGAAGAGCTTCCAAAAAGTTGGAAAGGGATCCAAGGAATTGTTTGAATTTTAAGCGCGTACATTGTTGCTATAATTTCAGCTGTACATATTTCTTTGATGCAATCGAGATACCTGAGGCCGAGTTCTTAATTACATCTTAATGCATCTTCAACCAGATGTTAGTTAGGCAAATGGAATTGTGGATTCTTTAACAGCTGTTTGTTACATTATGAAACGTGACCTGTATCAATCTGCCTATCGTGGTTACTTTCTTAGCAGAGACGCAGTGACAGACATATAAACTTGCATAGAGCTGACTCGGAATGTTCAAACGTTTCGACGTGAAGACGCTATTTCCACTAGAGAAAATGTATCTTTGCCATGTTTGACAGAGGTTCCCAAGTTCAATTGATTTTTTTGTGAGTTCTGTATTTTTCGGGATGTTCTAAAGAAAGAGATTTCTGAACAAAAATAAGTCTTATTTAGGCAACAATTACTGGAAAGGGATCTAAGGAACTATTTCAATTGTGAACGGAGACCTAAAGAAAATTTACTTAATTTGTTTAACACTTTACAGTCTCAGATTCAATTCCTTATACATTTTTCTTTTGAATTTCTCACAAATAATTTCGTTTCAATATTTTCTTTTCATCTTTTCATTCATGTTTTCACATTATTGTAGATTTCGAATACTTGGAGTAGCAAGTATACATCCTTACAATAAAGCACTGAATGCAAACCATTTATTAAAGATTTACTAAGTAGTATTTGAAGACGGTAACGTAGAACTCAGTTTATGTAATGAGTATTATAATGAAAAGACCGTTTGTATTTTATTTCACACCCAGAGTCAAACCTTAGGTCTGTAAACAAAATCCTTGTTTGTGACCATGAAATCATTTTATTGTAATTGTTTTTAATTGATCAATAAAGAGTATTCCTGTCATGACTCGAGCTGTTCACTGAGTGAGTCAAGCTGTTGAGCAAGAGCTACATGTAGTTCTCGTAAAACTTCAGTTGCCTGTTTATTGTCTAATCAAAAACTTGGGATCGTGAACAAAAGCTCTCAAACATTACACTGTGGAATGCTGCCCAATAGTCACCAGACATACACCTGTTTTTCGAGAAAGGTTGTCGGGAAAAAGCGCACGCGACAATCCCGAAAGGTATGGTATTGTGGGTAGTTTTAAGTTCACGGTTTCCTTGACTTCAGCATTTCAGGGAAATCTGAGAAAATGGCACGAGACGCCATGGACGTATGTTTGCGAGTGCTAAAAGAAAGCAACAAAAGTAGGTTCGACAGCTACAGTGTCAGGAACGTACCTTGCTGATCATATCCCAGATTACCTTTCGGGATTGTCGCGTGCGCTTTTTTTCCGACAACCTTTCTCGAAACAGCAGTATGCATACGTCATATATATATATATACGTCACAGCACAGACACTTCGAGATGGTTCGTCGACCTAAAGGTACGTCAGCTTTAAAGCTGAATCTGTCAGTTTTTGTACTCGTCTGTATATTTTTGACCGAGAGAATACGATCTCTTGTTTTATGATATCAGCGTAGCTTGTAGGAAAGGACGATTGTTTTACAAGAGGAAGCATAGTGCTCGTGTCTCGCGCTTCGCGATCTACCAACAAAAATTATCGTTGAATAATCCACCTGTCCTACAAGCTCAGATACTAGAAATAGTTTTATAATGGTCCTTGATTCGTCCCCAGTCTTTCTCTTGTGAGAACTACGACGCGGGGGATGATAGGAAGGAGAGAGAGAGAGAGAGAGAGCCAGAAGAAAGGGAACTTTTGTAACGAAAATAGGGAACTTTTTGTAACGAAAATAGGGAACTTTTGTAACGTAGGGAACTTTTGTAACGCTACTAGGGAACTTTTGTAACATTAGGGAACTTTGGTAACGTGACTAGGGAACTTTTGTAACGTGACTAGGGAACTTTTGTAACGTGACTAGGGCAACGTTAAATTGCTTATCAAAGCTTACTTCCCGTACACAACTAGCAAACTGAGGTGTTGGTATTGTCAACTCAATATAAAAAGACACTCATGTCCAAGAAAACATATTTCGTCTATCGGCGAGTAAGTTGTTTCTATTTGCCGGTTGTTAAAAATATCTCGAGAAGTAATACAAGTCAAGACATATTTCGATTCTATCCATTTCCTAAATGCGTTTCGACCTTTTCACTCTCGAAAATAAATTACATACTTGTACTTAATTACCCGAACGACCTAGGAAAAGATGACTGGAAACAACAAAATGTTTTAATACAACAACATCACTTTCGAGACGGATATAAACCACAGTCATAGGTACATCTACAGCATTAAAATACTATTGTTTACGTTTCAGATGGTGATCAATAGGAAAAATATCTAAACGATGTTGAAGTTGAAAATAACATGTAATTTCGTGTAGAGTATAATCAAAATAAAATAGCATTTTAGGGTGCGAATACGCACAAAAGCTAGTGCAAATATGAGACCGCGCGCTATGCTTTCTTCGAGATCTGTTTGCCCCAATCTTCCTTTTGAAGAATTTATTTTCGCATACCATAACAACAACTTTACCACTTGAAAAG